ATAAAAAATAATTTACAATTGAATTTATTGTTTTTCTCTTATAGTTTTTTTTTTCAATACTTAATACTAAAGAACTGGGCCTATTTCTTATTATAGATCTATTGTTTCTTAATTCCATGGATTAAATCTTCTTACAATTATAAAAAGAGAAAAATAAAAAAAATGGTATCAGATTAAGGAATTCAATACTTCTATTTTTAATTAATTTAATTTAATAAAAAGTAAAAATAAATATATTTTTATATTTAAAAAATCTAATATCTTATTCCATTAAATTAATTCGTTGTTGGTTTAACCTGAACATATTTATTACAAACAAGTTTCATTCTTCATCTTCATATCTCAAAGGTGTAAACAGAATTGATTAAATCTCAAGATTAAACGCACAAAATAGGAGCAAAAATCAAAGAAATTGAGAATGAAAAATATTTCTTTAAAAAAGAAGAAGAAAAAGATATTTCAGGAACATCACGTGAGAGATGCAAGTACAATGGCTGGGCATCCCGTGATGTAATTTCTAAATTTGAAACAATATTTAAAATTAAATTCCCCCGGGCTTTGTATGTATGTTTGTAGGAACAAAAGAATTCATTAAATGCTTCGTATGTCGTGTATCTGTTCTTGCGGTGCTAAACAAAACTTAAACTTGTCTTCTTCTTTCCTTTTTCCATAGGGTTTAATCGAAATAATTTCAATAATTATAAAAAAAAAAGTAGAGGGTTGAAAGTTTGGCATTTTTACCCAAAAATACCCTAACAACGAAATATTACTTGCCAGGCACCCTGTCTCCAAATATTATCGATTTAGCACCTTCTCTGACAAAGCGTGGATCATGAAGCGCGCTTTCGCGGGGTTCTGTCTTAGCTGGCACCACGCTGAAAAGGCATGGATCATGAGGCGCGCCTTTACGGGATTTTGTATGAGCTGGCGCCACATTAGAAGGCGTGGATCATGAAGCGCCTTCGTGTTGTTCCGTCTGAGCTGGGATAAATCCAACCGTCTGTCATAAATATCATTCAGCCATATGTTTGCCTCCCCCTATAAATACCCCCTCTCTTTCAACTCTCACACCACAAACGAAAATATTATATTTATTCATTCTATCTATTATTCTATCAAGTTTTAAGAAGGTATAGTTATCATTTTTAGAAGCTCAATTTTTTATTATATTATAATCATTTAATAGTTTATTATTTTATTATATTTTATTGTATTAATTTTTTATTAATTTTTGAAGTTATAAAATGGTAGGTGGGTTGTTGCGTTTATATGACAATCATATCTCGAGTCATTTTATTTATGGGGAGAACTCAAATTCATATACCTTAAATACTTCTGAAAGTCGGTATACGAGATCCACAAAATGGTTATAGTCTTAACATATATAATAGAAGGCTGCTATGACATGGGATCATAGATACTTCAGAGCTTGAAAAATCTCACAGTCGCACCACCTGTCTTGTAGATTAACTCTGAACGAGTCAGCTTCAATCCCTTGAAGAGATCGTGGCATTTATGTGACACAAAATAATTCATGGGTTCGAGAGAAGCTTGTTACAGACATTCCATTTGATGCAACAATTTTTTTTTGTAGATTTGCAATTAATATTAGGTGATAAGTATGATCGTTTTGTATTTAAGTTAGAGCTTGTCCCTCGAGCTTCGCAAAAAGAGCTCCCAAATGAAAATAAGTCGTTTTAACCAAAATTGTTACTGGTAAATTACACGCCCCCTTTAAGGTCAAATTGATAGCCTCATCCAAGTTCGTTGTCATGTGTCCATATCGATATCCATCATCGTATGCATTTGTCCATATTTCATATTGACGAGGCTAATGTAATTGTACCCTTTCTTATTTTTCCTCACAAATCTTGAAGCATAGACTTAAACGTTTGAGGTAATTGTTCGTAACCTAAATGTTAAATGTAGTGCTTACTGTTAACTTTCTATAAAAAAAATGAAAATGATTGAGAAATGAAATTAGGCCTTTTGACATACCCAAGCTCACAAGTAATTGGCGCTCATCATTCTTCTTGAACTTTCAATGATAGTTTACGGCAATATGTCGAATACAATACCGATGTTGGACATAGGGTGGCTGACACATTGGACTCAAAAACTCTACTGTTGCTTTGATCCCAGCCCTGCGATATGAAATGACACATATTTTTCCTCGTGACAACATGTAATTAAGCGTAAGTTTTTTAGGAAAAACCCCCAAGAATATGTATCTTCTTCTTCAATAAGGTTAAAAACAACTAGAAGAATGTTGCAATTATCATATTGGATAATTCTCAATAACAAAACTTGCTTGTATTTTCTATACAATAATGTCCTATCAATTTGAACTACGGCCTTGTAGTATTTTTCAACATTAATGCACTGTGGGTAAGTCCAAAAAAATGGTAGAATTAGTATCGATCACGAAGCACTCGATCATTGTGGTATGCATGACAAGTTTTGAAGTTAACTATTGTCCCAAGATTTAGTCTACGCATTACCCTAAACCAACTTGGTAGCTCGTTGTAAGACAAATCTCACTCGTCGTGAAATTTGGGCATTTTGCTTTGCCTTCCATGCTTTTCTGTAGGAGACAATGTACATATATTGAGAATATAACTAAAATCAGTGCCGCAATAGCTATATGAGAGCTTGCTTTGACCATGGGCATGATGACTTGGCAGATAATGTCGGAGTCTGAGTTGGGATGGTCCTGGTTGATCCCTCTAGCACAACATGTATGAGGACCTTTGTATATTGTTAGTTCCCATATGTTGTTTTTCCTCTTCCTCTTCAATACACGAACCATCCAGTTACATTTGTTATCACGTTAGACATAGTAGCAGACATACTTTTCGGTGGTGGATCGGTCGACTTTGGAAAGAACAGAATTGTTAATGTTGTAATTTTTAATTGCAATCACGTTTTTTCTTTGGATGGAAACTCCATTCTGATATATAACTCACCATCACTGACTGATGAGTTAAATATGTAGTCACCGCATTAGGCATATCCGCAAATTTTGGACCGTACATTGCACTATAGTCAGCATCATACATGTTTGTTAGAGGTTTCGTGTGTACTGTATTTGTGGGAACTTCATCTACATCATCATCATCGGAGTCCATATTGAACTGCGGTGATTCTGGCTCAACGAATAGTACAGTCTTAGCACCATCCGCACATGGCTCACGAAGAGGTTCTTCTAGTGGAGATAAGGGTACCTATGTGATGTCGATATTTAGGTCGAACAAGTTGGTGGTTGAATGTTTTCCCCTTGAACTTGAAGGCATCGTGTCATATGGGTTTTGAACTAAGTGTTGTGTCATAGGCATCTCTACATTGAGGTCGAAGAAGCTCGTAGTTGAATGTCTCCACCTAGAACTTGAAGGCATCGTTTCAAATGGGTACTTAATAGATTGTTATGTCAAGAGCATCTCCATATTCATGTCAAATAAATTTGCTGATAAATATCTTCCCCTTGAACTGGAAGTGATGTTGCCATACAAATTGTTCGTGGAGCCACCTCGTTTGAGATCGTAACAAGTTGTTGATAAATGTTTCCCATTAAACTTGATGGGATGATACTATGATGTGGATTTCTCATTAATGAATTAAAATCATTACACATTACTTGAGTTGGGTTATCAACTTGATCAGCTTATTGAGCTAGCCCATAGTGGGAGTACAATGACATACCGCGAACCACATACACTTCAATAAATGTGGCATACATTTGTGTATCAGCGTCTAAATTTTGATTCTAAGCATCAATAATCATAGCAACATCGTCATCGTTGGAGAGTTTGAATGTTGTATAAGTTAACGAAAATAGTGCAATTGGAAATATGTACTGAAGTAAGGACAATCTTCTAATACTTCCAACATGAATCTTCCTTAAACTTTTGGAGATCAGCTCCTCAAGAGTGATGTTTCTCTTGAAGAATATTCTGAAAAAAATGATTTGATGTGAAGACAACATCGATTTCATCTTCCCGAATTTCTCCATCATAGTAAACAATAGTTGAAATATGTCTTATTTTGAGAGTTTGAAAGATTGAGAGTCCTATATTTGCAAAAATAATAGCTGAAATACACCTAATTAAATAAATATTATACAAATTAAAATATAAACTAATGCTAAAAAATATAAAAAAAATCATAATATTTTAAATAACACAATTTAATATTGTTACCGTATCGACAAAATATCTCGAGATATAATCCCGCCTTCCATTTTACAATTGTAAAAATTAATAGAAAATAATTAGTACAATAAAATTTAGTCAAATAATTAAATATAAAATAAATATAATATAATAAAAAATAATTTTACATTCTAAAAACTATAACAAAATCTACTTAGCTTGATATAAAGAATTGATATAATGAAGAATGTGAAAGTAATTTTGATGTGGTTTGACGTTTGCACTTGGAGGTATTTATATGGGAGGGGTTGGGTGAATAGCCGATATTTAAAGCTCGGGTAATAATAGAGTGCACAATAATTCAAGGTGAATAATGGAAGGTGTGCCTCACGATATACGTGTCAGATTTCCCCCAAGAAGGCGTGTTTTATGATCCGAGCCTTCCAACGTGATGCCAGTTCGGATAAATCCCCGCGAAGTCGTGTTTCATGATTCGCGGTTTGTCAGAAAATGTACTAATTCAATAATATTTGGAGAAAAAGTGTATGACAAGTAATATTTCGTTGTTAGGGTATTTTTGAGTAAAAACGTCTAAAAGTTTCGACAGTGAAAAAAAACACTGAAGAAAAATAAAATAAATGGCCAAATATTCTGGTTTAGTGGATGAACATATGAAGCCAGCTGATGATAGGATAAAAGAGTCCAAGCATTGCCCTTGGATTTCCAACAGCAAAGATTCTTCTTCATAAGAAAAAGAAGAAGAGGAAGAGGAAGAGGAAGAGGAAGAGGAAGAGGAAGAGGAAGAGGAAGAGGAAGAGGAAGAGGAAGAGGAAGAGGAAGAAGAGGAGGAAGAAGAAGAAGAAGAGAGGAGAAGAAGAAGAAGAAGAAGAAGAAGAAGAAGAAGAACCCGTTGCTTTCTGCAGGCTAAAGCTTACTTTTTTAGGCAATTTCATACGAAGTTACTAAAATAAAGGTAAGATCTTTGCACAATGCAAATGAAATAAAGGTTGGTTCTTTTATATATATAAATGATTTGTGCTTGTTATTTGCAAGCTTGATTCATAATCTAATGAGGTTTTCTTCTGTTTAGTGAAAAGAAGATGGGGGGAGAAGAAGGTATGAGGACTGTGGAGTGCTTGAGAGGAAGGCTTCTTGCTGAGAGACAAGCTTCCAAATCTGCTAAAGAAGATGCTCAACTTATGGAAAGTAAGGTCAGCTTCTTAATCCATCAATTTGGGTGTTTTATTTTAACCGTTATTCCTTATATTTCAATGTTCTAAAGGAAAAGGATCTGAAATTTTTGCTTGATTCTTGTTGTTCTTGAATCTCAAGTTGCTTGAACTTGAGAACAAACTCAAACAAGAGACCAAATTAATGAACAAAGCTGAGAGGAGGGTCAATATGTTGAAGAAAAAGCTTGAATCCCTCAAAATATTGCCTGATTTAGAAGAATCAGAGCGATCAAGCTCATCTCAGAGCTCTGCAATTTCCAGTGTTTCATCTGCAAGTAGTTCAGGTACTAAACACCCTCCAGAATCTGCTTCAGAAATCCCAGAAATTGTGAAGGAAAATGCATCAGACACCAAATCCGGTACAAAGGAGTCCTCACATGAAAAATCGAGCAGTAAATCAAGTTCAAGCCATGAAGTTCCTCAGATTGAACATACAAGGTAACCCACATTTGTCCTACATGCAATATACTAAATAATTAACTCAAATTGATCACTTTGTACCATCAATTTCACCAGTTCTTCAAGCTTGGAGCCTTCATCAATGGAGACAAACAGGACGAATTACGACGACGACGAATATGTCGATAACTCATTGGCATTGGTTCCTTCGGAGCTCCCGGAAACAAAGCCGGCACCTGAGGTACACATAGTCAGCAAAAGTGTAGGTGAAGTTCTTGATAGTCTAAGGCCTGCAAGGGAAAGAATTCAGAGCTCAATGGGAAGAAGACAAATGGTTAGAGTCGGACCGTCTTGAATTCATCAAAGTAAAACAGCAATGATTGTCCCATTTTTAGATAATAAAACAGCCAGAGAACAGATGTCGTGTTTTCTTGCGTTGGAGCAAAATGGCAAAGACAGATTATATTTAGTGTAGTGTTAAAGTGCATGATAATGTAAGCTCTGTAGTTGTATATTTATATTTGCCTTTAATCAGATTGTTTTGTTGGTGTTACAAAAGTTTCCCTCCACTAGCATGTGATGTGGGGATGTGACTCCATTTAGTACATTGATTTGGACCCCAAAGTTTTGGCCTCGTCCACTTTTCCATTTCCCCCATTCTACCAAAGATGTATAATGCACCTAAACTAGTTATTTTAGTTCTTTTTTGGAATATTTTTATTATGAATGAGTATGAATTAGGTTGTTTGTGTTTTTCAACCCGAGTATTTATATCTTTCATCCGAAATTCGACCTGATTCGAAATATATATTTATAAAAATTATTACTTTTATTCAGTCAAAATAAGGATCTAATTGAAAAAATAATATATAGAGGAGTATTATTATAATTATTACTAAATATATAAGGTATGATTGCATTGTTTTTTTTGGATCAGGTCGGGTCAGGCCGGTTCTAGTATTTTTCACTATAAATTCGAACTCGACCCGAACATATATTCTAAAAAACCCAACCCGACAGGAATCTAATTTTTTTATAAAAAAAACTCGACCCAGTAGGATCAGGTTGGGTTTGAGTCTGTATCTATCTCTAATTTTGATCCCATAATTTTATTTTTGAGTAAAAAGATCCCTCTAAAATACAAAATTTTTTATGTCCTGTTTGGTCGGTGCTAAGGATTCACATGCAGCTTATCACGTGTTTTGAGTTAATATCTATGTCCTGTTTTTGCCCCCAAAAAGTTAGCTGGTGGGGTTAAAGAATAAAATCATAATCAATTAAGGTATTTAAAATGTTTTACTTCCTTTTCTCAGGAAATTTAAAAAAATAGAATATAGAAATTTAATATTTTTTCGTTCCAAAAAATTGAGTATATAAAATTTTCCCGTTCTTCTAACATATTATGTTAATTTTTATAATTCTTTTAAAATAATGAGAATGCACTTGCTCTCTTACGAAGTTTAGTGCACACGTTCATGCTCTCACGATATACATTGGTGTGTAAAAGAATTATTAACAAATAAATCTTAAAAATAAAATAAAATAAAATTATAGATAAATTACACTAGATATTACTCCCTTTATCCTATTAAATATGTCCATTATTGATTTTTTGTCAATTTTTTAAACTTTGACTCATTATTTTTACAATTTATTATTGATAAAAATATGAAAATATATATTTTATAAACTTTAAAAAATAGTTTTTAAATATATGTTTTTTATAAAAAAAATTAATTATTTAAAATATTTAAAATAACAATGATTAAAGTTTAAAGGTTTGATTTTTAAAAAGTCAATAATAGACACAATTAGTGGGACAAATAGAATATTTAATTTAAATGAAGTATCGTTTATACTATTGAACTTTCAATTACTTCATTATAACAATAAGTTTTAATTTTTTATATTATTGAAACATTAAAATTTAAGCGGAGTGATCGATATGAACAAAACGTAAGTCATTTATTCATAATAAACAACATCATGCACTCTATATGTAACACCCCAAATTCTAGGTTAGTAGTTTCGGGTTAACTCGAGAGGTATGCGGATCTCGTGGAGTTCGTAATTAAAATCGTTGGACCAAGTTTTGGCTTAATTGGGTTAGAATTGAGTCCTAAAAATAAAAAAGGATATTTTTGCATAAAAGATAAAATATGAAGAACCAAAAGTGCAATTAGACCATTGGTAACAATCAAGGCTAATATTTTGGGTTTTATATCAAATGGGGCATGTGTTTTGTGTCCAAAAAGCCTTCTCTCTTTGTCTTCTTAATTTTTCTTCTTCTTTCCCTCTCTAAGCCTCCATAGCTCCAAGTAGATGGTAAGAACATATCTCCATACTCCATTAGGCTTTTAATATGTCTCAAACACTTCATACAACCTTTTGTATGTTAAGAAACCCTTGCATCTTTTGTTGGATAGAGAAAAAGAGTGGAGAATCAACAAAGTCTTGGAGGAGAATGGTAGCTAGCTAAAGGAGCTTCATTTTGAGATTCTAACATTAAGGTAGTGTATTTCTAATCTTTTTGGTGTTAAGGCTTTCATAATCATGAAGAGTTTTTAAGATTTGGGTATTTAAGCATTTTAGGGTTTTTGCTTGTTTCATGACATAGATGATGTTTTTGTTCTTTAGATTGTGTTTTTAGGGTGCTAGATGACCATAAGTAACTCCCCTAAGCTTTAGTACATGACTTGGGATCAAAATAAGACCTCTGGGATGATTTTTGAGTGTTTTTTAGGCTTAATTAAGGAATTTTTAGGGTTTGAGTATCGATACTGGATGAACAATATCAATACTAGATGAACTGGTATGATTTCTAGGTAGTTTCAACAGGAAGTATCGATATTGAGGGAAAGAGTATCGATAATACCCCTCTGATATTGATACTGAGGGTATCTAGTATTGATATTGGGCCTTTTTTTTTTAGCAAAACATAAGCTATTTTTTGTACCAATATTCAAGGGGTACTGATACTTGACTAGGGGGTATCAATACTACATATAGGGTATCAATACTACCCATTTGTTGACTATGTTAAGGCCCGTAAGAGTCAAGAATGACTCGTAATTGTGGGACTTAGTTTGTGAAGGACATAAATGGAAAAAAGTGCCTAGAAACACTCTTAGAAGAGGGTTACAACTGAAGTAACCATATTAGATGTAATACGTCCAAGTATATTCAGTCGAACATGTATTGAGTAATTAAGAACGAGGGATCGTTCATGATAAACTAACCATATTACGTAAAAGAGGAATTTTGTACTATGAAAACATCAATGAACTGTGAATGTACAATCGTCCCTCTAATTCAAGGATGAATTGAGGGAAAGCATGATGAGAGCGACTAAGTATCACTACCAAGGAATGAACTCGAGTCAGGTATTAGGCTAGCAAATAATTAAGCAAATAAATAGAAAAAACAGTAACTGTCATAAAATCATGGAACACATAGTGAAACTTAGTAGACTAACAGTTATAACTAAAATACCTCGAGTGTTAAATGGCTAAAATAGAGAAACTTAGTAGACTAACAGATATAACAGAATAATAAACCATTGCACAACGCTCTAGATGCGAGAACTAGTGAGATAATATATAGTGCGGGGATGACCTCACTTTAGTGTGTTGATCTATGCTAGTGTGTAGCTTAGTTACCTTAGTTGCTCTAGTTGGGCATTGTTAGTGATGTGTGACCTTTGGGCTCTCAAACATGCATGTATAGTTGCATCAGTATAGTACAACATATATCCTTAAAGCTTGGATCAATGTTATGTGATACTGAGTTAATGCTTTAGTTGAGAGGGAATATACGGATGCTATTTGATATTGGGTTTTCCTTCTATGATATACCTGATGATATGTGAGACTAGGAGATTATTCAGCAACTTAGTGAGAATTTTACCGATTCTATGTGATATCGGAATTTCCCTCAGTTGTCTAATGTTTGATGCTATTTGAGACCAGATACTAATAATGTGTCATGTGTCGCATTTAAAGAATGCACAACAGTTACAGTCATTGTGGCTAGAGACCCAATAGAGGTGTACTCATGGAGAGACCCTAAACAGAGAATTAAAGGAAGTATTAGACTCCTACTTTATCAATTGAACAGTTGAACCTTAAGTAGGTAGCACTTGATTATGATCATGCATGTACCTACAACTTAATAACATGTCTTCTAGCATGCTTGTGCTTATGAGACTCATAATGCTGCTATAGATTAGCTATTATACCGTTGGGCTTTGTAAGCTCAACGTTCATATGTTTTTTATTCGCGAGTTATTAGCTTGAGATGTTCGTATAACATTATCACAGCAGGATTTCCAGCATCTCTTCTAGGGTATTCTACTATAGCTTTAGTGGGCATGTATATTCATAGAACCTTACTTATGTTTTTAGATTATCAAACTTTGAATTGTATTATTTGATGTAAAATATGTGTAAAGGAACTTCAATTTATAAAATTGTTTTTATAACCGTCATGTATGTCTATTTTGGTACCATTAAGTATGTTTTAAATGAAAATGAAACATGTTTTTTAAATAAGGGGTTGTCTCAACAACCCAATGTGACACTTTAGATCCAATTGAGTTTAGGATATTACACCACAAACTCTAAAATATAACCTTCACCCATGACTAATAGTTTGATGAAACCGCCCAGTAAGCGATGGTTAGTAAGGGTGTATTCAGTTCGATTTAGTTTTTCACCAAAATATCTGAACCACACTTTACGAGTTTTTAAAAATGGAAACTGAAACTGAATGACATAAAAACCAGGGTTTTTGGTTTGGTTTGGATCGGTTCGAAGATTTTTTACTGTTCATTATTTTCCAAAACCAACCTCTAGAAAAGCAAATTTAAAGATTAAATCGATTTCAAATAAATAAATTTAAATTCATAAAAAATATAATTAGTTTTAATATTTTATTTATTTAAATTTGTATTATAATAAATTCAATATGAATGTGTTTTGGATTTTTTTTATATATTTTTATTTCGGTCCAAACAATTTCTACATGGAAAAATCAAAACCAAACCGCAAATTAAGAAACCGAATGAACCTAACTGAATAGTTCAGTTTGGATCGATTTTTCGGTTTCGTTGCTCAACCCTAATGGTTAGGACCAAAATTTGAACAGTAAATCATTGTATAATACACATGCAACTTCCATTTCTCATTTTGAAAACAAATTTCACCTATTTGTATTTTAACCTCTCAATTTTACATGATTTTCTTGTTTCTTCAATTCACTCTTTTAACAATAAAATTTTTCTTTTTACAATTTAGTCTCTTATTTTTATATGATCTCTTCGTTTCCTCAATTACTCATTCATTTTAAGTTTTATTTTTATCAAATTCAAATACTCCTTTTACAGTTTAATATTTTAAAATTATATTTTATTTAATCTAATCTTTAAAAAATGATGTTCAGACAGACATAAAGGAGTTCTAGTACTATGGGGCTTGACCGCCTGAGGGGTGATCCTAAAGTGTAAATGGGGACTGGATCTTTAGTCCTAACAAGCCCATTAGAATCCCTCATGTACTTAGGATCTTTAAAAAAATGATGTTCAAACAGACATAAGGGAGACTTAGTACTATGGGGCTTGATCGCCTGAGGGGTAACCCCAAAGTGTAGATGGGGA